ATAAATAATATAACAAATTCTATCAATTTTTATTGTTTACAAACCAACTGAACGTTAACAAGTGAACTTTTTTCATTCAGAATCATTCTTCTTCCGACGTCTGATTTTTTTTTAATTATAGGAAATGTGTTTTTCAAAGATGCATAAACTTTTGCGATTGACTGTATACCCAATACATCCTTAAGTTCATCTTCTTAGAGTTCATTAGTTCATTGGAAATAATCATGGTAGTCATTGGTTCTACATAAAAATGTTAATACACAATCTAGGTGGCATTATTATCTACGAGAAAAACACTGTACTATAACATTAATTGATAACTGTCATAGATTTAGAGAAATCATCGAAAGTATTACACAGATTATGTGAATGAATAGAAATCTGTATTAAATTCATTTATATGATAATTGAGATACTAGTAAACTTGAGATCTCTTCGAGTTAGTTAAGATCCCTTATTTATTCGCAGCGTGGTCTCTCTTTTTTTTTGGTTGAAACCGGAAAAGCTGCACGTTCTAACGATCCCTCGAACCTTTTGTGCTCCTCGATCCAGTTTACTCCCAAGCTTATAACGAACCTGTGTCATTTTTATGTTACCGGATCAACTATTCCCTTTCTCATTTCAAAATTTCTTTCTCGAAATTCTCTCTCTTCCGATTTTAAATAAAGAAAAAGTTCTATACAGTAATATTTCAAAGGAAATTAATTTCTAATCGCAAGTTTAATAAATATAAACTATAAATGACCGACTTAGTTCGTTCACGATTGAAATTAAAGCTTCACGTCTTTTTTTTGTCATTTAATTTGACAATTTTACATAAATCAACATTAGGCGTGAAAAATCGAATTTGAATGAAGCCTTCCTCAGGTGTAAAAATTATTATCCTAACGAAAACTATTGTTTCACTTTAGTTGTTAATAACTTCGTTAAAAATGTTAATTCAATCTGTCTAATAACTGTACTGAAAACAATTATTGACGTTTTCAAACTAATCTTGCATCGGACGTTGCCTACTGAATAAATAAAGGTTCTAGATTTCGTTTAGTTATTTTTGGGCAACGTATCGAGCGTTCTATTTTTTCCCACGACTATAAATTGCTCGATTTGGAGAAATATCGAGCTGGTGGCTAAAGGCGAAACGATAACAGTGTCCGTGTGGGTAGCTAAATCCGAGTGTAAAACCGAGTAACGTACGATCTGCGCGTGATTTTCCCTGCGAATCATAAATTCCTTCGACTCGATTACAATTCTCAAAATTCTACTAAATAAAAAGAAGAAAAGAACGATCCGTTTTCTTTCTAAAAATTCTGCTAAGTGAACTACATACATATGTACGAGCGTACGAACTTAAAAATGGTTTGTTTTTCTGTTTCATCGTTGCAGAGACTTCGAGGCAGGGATGAAGTGTATTCAGACGTATACACTGGACTGCTTGCAGGAGAAACAAAGGGAGCACTTCAACTCGTTGTACCTAAGCACGTACAAGGTGGTCATGGAGCTGTGTCAAGATGGCCCTTACCAGGACGGTGAGTACCCGTTCACGATCCCTATACATACGTATGTACGTACGTAAGTACCGGAGAGCAACGGACTCGATGCTAATTGCGTTAACCACCAATTACACTTAAGAATGTTAATCACATGGATTCCTTTGTCAAACGTAGCGATACAAGTCGAAATTCATTTCACAACCCAGCAAATGCTAGCAGTGTTCGATGATGAAATCGAATATTTAATTGCAATCAATTTTAAGAATTGTAATTATGTCTTGATCGATCAATTCGTTTATCACATCACGATAGACTAAGTGACATGTCACTTTAGAACGTACTATAACTTATTAGGACAAAGTAGTGATTCAATAATAAAGTCGAATATTTAATTGCAATTAGTTTTAAAAATGTTATTTATGTCTTGATCGATTAATTCTTTTATCAAATTACGTTAGAATACGTCAAAAGTCACTTTGGAACACTCTGAAATTTATTGGGACAGAATAGATTGTCAATGATTCAATAATTAAATCGAATATTTAATTGTAAGAAGTTATAAGAATTTTAATTCATTTAAAAATTCAGTAAATGATAGTAGGAGAAAATAAAATATACAATAATAAATTGGATAATTGTAATCGACGGCAAGTGTCGATTAATCGAATTAATTGTTTCGATCATCTTTTGGTGTTGCAGAGTTTTTGAGACACACTCGGTGCATGAAAACGGTGCAACCGGAGTATGAATTGTGTTCGAAGAGGTACCAGAAGACGACGCAGGAGCTCGAACAGAAGAACCAGACGAGCCCACAGGAGACCATGAAGCCCCTCTGTTGGTGAGTGAACAGTAAATACATTCATTAACTCTTTGAGAGTCGGATAAAATAATGAAAAATCCTTTATAATTCATCTGTTTTTATATTATTTTATACTATTTAATTGAATTAGACACTAAAAGATAAAGACAAAGAGATAGAGATCACAAAGGCTTCTGCTTTTAAACTGTGAAAAGGTTAATTATTATGCATGTGACTGATTCTTCTAATACGAATTTATTTGATCAATTTATTTGTACTCGAAATTAATTCAATATTCAACGAACTCTTTTTTTATACATGTACATTTTGCTAGCAGTAAATTTAATTACAATACAAATAAAAATTGTGAAGTATTTTTCTCTGAGTGAACTAAATTGCAAAATAACTAGAATTGCAAATAAAATTTATTTTCAATCAAGTGAATCTCTAAATAAAATGTTCTATAAGAAATTTTAATTCCAAATAAAATTTCTTTGGAATGAATCGAATCTCTGAATAACTGATTTCTTCTAAGTAAATTATCTTCAAAACATTTCGTCCGAGTAAATCGAATTACAAATCCATTAAATGCAGTAATTAACTAGAATTAAATGTTGTCCAAACCGAATTCCCCAAACAAAATCTGTTTATAATTAAATTAAGAATAGAATCTCGTTGTTCCTCGCCATTTGTTCATTCGCAAATAATTATTCCCATTAACCGAATGATAATAAAAAATTGATACAGTCGAAATTGTATTAAGTTCGTTTGAAAATCGTGTTGTTTCGCCAGGTCTCTCTTTGAAACGCAAATTCTTCTCGTCGCATGCCCCAATTAATATTCATTAACCCGTGCAACGACGGTATATACGTATGTATTTATTCATAATCGGGGAAACAAAGAGTGCGCGTGCCTTTTCGTCTCGGCCGCATCCGTTTTCTATTTTCCCTTTCCTAAAAAATAAATTTACACGCTCAGACAAGAATTTATTACACAGCTCCAATTAATTAAGGTTTTTGATTAACATTGTTCGAGGATCGATTTCTTCAATACTAATTTTCCATTTGTTGCAAAATAGACTTAAATGCTATGATAATGCACAGACAGAAATGTACTACACGGTTTCAATCAATATCTTTCATTAACATCGTTTGGTGATCGATTTCTTTGATATTAATGGAATAGACAAAGGTCGAGAAGGGCTTTGATCGAGGCGGACGTAAAGCAGGGTAAAGGATTGGGGCTGGTAAAAAAAGACGTGGAATTGGATTTACGCAATAAGAGCGTTAAGGGTAACTTGGGCTCTCTCTCTCTCTCTCTCTCCTATTCTGCACGCGTTTGAAATCCCTACCACACTGCTACTGCTGCCTCTCTTTGCCTTTTCCACTTACCCCTTTCGCTCTTTTTACTACCATTAACTTCACTCTTTTCTATTCCTTTTTTCTCTGTTCCCCTCTTTCGTGGGTTCTTCCTATTCTTCTTTTTCACCGTGCTTACTATCACCAGGGCTTTACTTTTTAACTCCTCTCCTTTCACTTTCCTTCAGTTTCGTTCCTACTAATAGGATTCTCATTTGTCGATCGTTGGATTTCTTCATTTAACGTTCGAGAATTGAATTCGGAATTTAGATTGCAGTAGTTTCATCCCCTCTTCCACACCCAGAGAAAAATCGTTTCATCTGGAATATCGTGTATTTTATTCTATTTTATTTATTTGATTTCTTATTGAGACAAAAATTCGAGTCCCACTCTATCAGTAGGGTGCGAGAGCGAGTATTTTTTCGTCGGGGTGGGAAAAGGGTGGCTGAAAACGCGATGCACAATTTGAAAAGCCGCAACAGACCGTGGCAACGAGATAAGCTAATGACATTAGGGGGCGTCCGCGTGAAAAGCTTCACCCTCCGCGTGTTTACACGGCTTCCGGCGTGTCGGCGTGTCGGGCGGTGGTTGGAAAAAACGGGGGCGATGCGATACGATAAAAACGTGGCGCACAATGGGGACAATTTGCATTTTCAAAGGAACTTACATTTCTGACAATTTATGCTCTCCCCAACTGATTCTTATCGAAATACAAGATTTCTTTTGGTGAATGGTGGTAGATATTTATAAATAATTGATAAGAGGGGGTTTTATTGTAATTCTGAAGAATTTTTGTCGGGGCAAGTGAAAATGAGGTGTATTGATCATTTGAAAATCATATTAGTGCAAATGATAAACTAAAAAATATAGAGAGATTCTGATGGCATGTTTAATATTTAAATCTATTTGGCAAAGAGTGTTTGCCTACTGAATTATTAACGAGGATTGAATCTGTTTTGATAAACGAGCATCGGGTTCAGAAACTCTGATAGCAACGAGTTGGGAGGAGTAGGAGGAGGATGGGGTAGTTTTATTTTTAGAATGCTTTGGGATTACTACGTTTCTGTCTCGTTCGTTTTGACACGATTTATGGGAACGCAAGACTGCCTAATGTATTATACCCCACCGTGTACATCCATCTTCGAGCCTAGTCCATCATATGACTAGAAATTTGAATAAAGACACCTGCTTCTTATTACCAATGCACTCCTTTAAATAATACGATACTCTATTCTCGTTTCGAATCAATTATTGTAATAATAATATTAATAGTATTCATTTGTGCTCCAGGCTCATAGCCTATTACCCAGAAGATTATTTTAATATTACATTTTTAACCTCTTCATGATTTTAATTACGCTATTATTAGCTTAACCGGATCAAGTTTAATCTAAGTTTATCATAATTATATAAAAAGCTCAAGTAGTTTATGTACATCAGAGTTACGGTGCTTTGCAACAGATATCTACTGAGACGAGATTCCTTGTTTTTATTACTAATTGCACATAATGGAATATTCTTTTTGCTTCTTCCACTGAATTCAATAATATAAACTTTGAGAAAGTGTTTTCTTCTGACTTTCCGAAATTATTTATTTCTAATATGGATTTCATGGACTTTTTACATGCTATCTTGTTCAGTCTGTAATATATTATGACCAAGATAAAATTAGGAGAACAGTTTGATAAGTAATCATATCTTTAGGAAATATAAGAATTTTTTAGATTTATTTCAAATGTAAACAAAGCATAGTTCACCTAGTTACATTTGTGGGATCTTAATGAAACTCTAGTATGTTGAATATAGGATCTAATTAGTAGCACTTTCATTCATCACTTCAATCAAAATAATTTTCTTTAGAAATTAGAACACTTTTTATGATTTTATCACAAATTCTTTAATAAATCAATCATTTCTCATTCTTCCGCTTGTAGTATTCTAATCAGATTTTATTATAGTCTGAACTACAATGTATTTAAACCTCCTCCAACGACTCGCAACTTTCAGTTTAATTTGAATCATGAAAATATGAATTAAAAGTCAGTTTAACTCGAGAGAACCTGAGTTAAATGATTCTTAACAGTCGTGGGTGGTTCGATTCGCGTGTTGCAGCGGTTTCAAGGGGTTCCTAGAGTGTGCTCACCACACGATACGTCGTGCCTGCGGCGAGGAGACCGCTCAGTTCGGCAAGGAGTTCCTCGACAGGATGTCTAGCTCGCTCCTAAGGGTAAATATTTCCGTATAACTTTTTTTTTTTCCAATTTTTATACCCGCCTCACGAAATGTGAAGTTCTTAAGAAATTTAGAAATACAACTTGCACTGAACATATGTAGAACCTGTAGAATATTTCATATAAATTAGAGGTATAATCAGACAATTTTTTAATCCAATAATAAATAAAGAAGTGCCTTCGTCACAAACTGAAATTCTTAAGAAATTTCATAGAACCTGTAGAATATTTCATATGAATTAACGATTCACTCAGACAGTTTTTAAGTCAATAAGAAATACAGAGTAGTTGTAGATATAATTAGAGACTCAAACAATTTTTCTAAGTAGATTATAAAATTTATTACATCCTACAGTTTTTGAAAAAAAAAGCAACAAGATACAGTCAGTCACAGAATTTTAATAATAAAATCGATCTGTGAGTCGTTGTATCACGATTAAAAGAAGGAAACGGTTTATTCTGTGTTTCCAGTCGCATTGTGCACCGTTTACAAATGAAGTCTGCACGATTGGCAATAGCAGTGGGCACCTATTGCCATCGTTACTGGCAGTCCTCCTGTGCTTGGGTCTGACGATCGCCAGGTATTTCACGTAAGGGAAGAAGAAGAAATTATCTCTGTGCCAAGAGAGCCGAGCTTCCCTCATTTAACTCAAAAAACCATTCTAAGAAGCTTTCGACGAGGCAGTCAGCTTTTGTATAAATCGCAAAAAAATAATTATAAAAGAAGCTTCGAAGGAGGAATGAAGACGGCAATCCTAAGGAGGTTGAGAGAGGAGGAAATAATTCTAAGAAGCTTCAGAGAAGAGGGACGAAGAGAAGAATTAGAAGAGGGAGCTTCGAGGAAGGAATAAAGCAGGCAATTCTAAGATGATTGAGAGAGGAGGAAATAATTCTAAGAAGCTTGGAGGGTGAGAAATAAAGAAACTTGGAGAAGAAGAATGCGAAGAAAACCATTAGAAGAATGCGAAGAAAACCATTAGAAGAAGAAGAAGCTTGAAGGAATAGAAATCTGGGAAAGATCCTGAGGAGCTTTCTCTCTCTTGCAAACTTCCTTTCATCCTCCTATCTAAGGAACGATTAAGCGATAAGAGAAGAAGCAGAAGAAGGAGGCTAAACAATTAAGTGTTACATCTAAGACACGTTCGTATTACTCGAGTGTCTCATCCACCCGAACGAGATGCCGCAGCTATCGTTCAGCCATCCACTAAACAGCATTAAACTAACAATGCATTAAACAAATGACTAGAATACACAAGAATTCAATCTACACAGGATGAGACAAGTGAGCAAATAACACATGGAATAAACTGCACATTAAACAATCTATTAAACGACACACAATCTGAAACTCTGAACGCAAGAGCGAAGAATTGTTTAATAAAAGTATGGAAGATGGAATCTCAGGACACTATATTTCCCCGAGTGATAAATCGTGGGATAGGGGATTCTAAACATGTATTTAAAGAAGATTCACAGCGCGCGAACTCTTCTTGGAAATCCTCGGTTCGTCTTAGTAACCACCACCCCCTTCATTAACCGGATGGCATCCTCTTTCTCATAAATAAAGATATTTATTTATCCCAAACCTTCCCAATCACACCACGGATTCTTCGATTCATCGAGGTACGTCGAGTTATGTATTTCATTTATATTAGATTAATCAAACGTGTGATCTGGCGACTCGGAAATTGATCTAACTTGTTCGAGCCGTTTTATCAACATTAAATGATTCATATTAAAGTCAAGTTCAATGCAATTTTAACTATAATTCAATTAAAAACAATCGAAATTAAATTCTAGTCTCCTTTTGATGTATGAATAATTAAAACTTCTTATTAATTCGTTTACATTTTACTTGGTAATGTATATTTGAGTTAACATTTGGCTCTGTTCTATCCACAATTAAATCCATTTTGCACTTGAAAATTTATTTAACATACAAATAATAAATTGAACGAGCGAAATCCGTGCGCTCTCTAAAAAGAAGCTCCGAGTAGATTTCCCGTATTAAGTAAAGTAAGTTAAAGGGTCGTACGAATCGACGACTAGGCAAATCCTAATAGCAAATACTGTGAGAGGCACACGTGGTAATTCCTGAATTTACGATTGTTGCTCGAATCCAACATACGGTACGGCTGTACATACAAACCTTGCCAGTTGTACAGTTTATCGCGATTTAGTATTAGTGTGACTGGTTATTATTTATGGAGCGTGAGTCGTCTTCAATAGATTTAATTATTATTAATTGTATGAAACGTATTGAGATTCTTCGAAAAAATAAATAGAAAGAATTATTTAATTATCCTGAATGAGGATAATTGTTATTTGTATGAAATATACTGATTCTTGGATGAAAGTTATTTAAATTCTTCGATACTAGAATTATTTAATAATCCTTATAAATATTCGTGGACGAGAATAATAATAATGATAATAACAATTATTATTATATATTATAATAGTAATAAACTATAATAACACTAATAATAATAATTATTATTATTATTATCATTATTATTACAACGTACGAAGTACGAGTTAGCTTAATGAAAGTAAATTCCAGAAATTGAGGAGGGAGTACATGCGTCAGTTGTATTTTAATTCGAGCGAGTGGCAGTGTGAGGTGAATTATTATTATTTATTTGTATAATAAGATCGAGATGAGGACGCGAGAGTGTAAATACATATATATATACATATATAGATTAAATAGTTCGCAGACTGTAAAATACTGTAAGATATAACGATACATTCGAATGAAATAAAAGATTTTATTTAAGATTCACTCACATTCCACTCCCCCTCTGCGAAATTCCAGAGTAGGCTCCGACTGATGTGGGTAAGTTATTTCAATAGGTGTTTAGATTTAGTGATTAGAAAAATTGTTTTTATTAAATAGAATAATACTTTCTCTATTTTTTATTATTACATGAAACTTTAGTATGTTGTATAGGGACCTATACCCCTATACAGGGTAGTTTATTCATTACTTCAACAAAAGAAATTTCCTTTCATGAATAAAAAACTATTTCTAATTTAATTCCTATAAGCAAGTTCAATTATTCAACAATTTCATCGTTTTCTGTATTTATACTTGAAAGATCTTAATGAAAGATTAGTGTGCTGTACTGGGGATCTAATTGGAGGTACTTTCTATTGATGACTTCGATCAGAACAGTCTCATTAAAAACCTACAATTTTAATGAATAATTCATTATTCGATATTTTATATCGAACAAATAATGTCTTTAATCTCGTACAATATAAAAATCTGTGTAAACCAGCATAAGTAGTGATAAATACAGATGTCTTGATAGACTGGCAGGCAATTTTTAGTTGGTACAGAACCATAAATCCCGTTTAAATCAGATCTGAATCGAGTCGAACCGTTGTACGTCGATCTCCCTTTTGCAACCGTTATCGTTCCACCCCCTAGCAACTTCTTATTCGTCGAGCCATAGAAAATAGAGAAGGCCAACAGCGGAGAGGGAGAAGTTGTTTCGTATCGCGAAACTTTGCGAATTTATCAGAAAATGTGGCTATGAGTTATGGCTGCACTAGAATCATATTTATACTCCCATAGAATACGTATATCTTGACTGGAGTCCTCTGAAATTCTAGTTCCTCTACAGCCGAATTTCAAATAATTTCTAGATATTTGAGTTAACATTTGGCTCTGTTCTATCCACAATTAAATCCATTTTGCACTTGAAAATTTATTTAACATACAAATAATAAATTGAACGAGCGAAATCCGTGCGCTCTCTAAAAAGAAGCTCCGAGTAGATTTCCCGTATTAAGTAAAGTAAGTTAAAGGGTCGTACGAATCGACGACTAGGCAAATCCTAATAGCAAATACTGTGAGAGGCACACGTGGTAATTCCTGAATTTACGATTGTTGCTCGAATCCAACATACGGTACGGCTGTACATACAAACCTTGCCAGTTGTACAGTTTATCGCGATTTAGTATTAGTGTGACTGGTTATTATTTATGGAGCGTGAGTCGTCTTCAATAGATTTAATTATTATTAATTGTATGAAACGTATTGAGATTCTTCGAAAAAATAAATAGAAAGAATTATTTAATTATCCTGAATGAGGATAATTGTTATTTGTATGAAATATACTGATTCTTGGATGAAAGTTATTTAAATTCTTCGATACTAGAATTATTTAATAATCCTTATAAATATTCGTGGACGAGAATAATAATAATGATAATAACAATTATTATTATATATTATAATAGTAATAAACTATAATAACACTAATAATAATAATTATTATTATTATTATCATTATTATTACAACGTACGAAGTACGAGTTAGCTTAATGAAAGTAAATTCCAGAAATTGAGGAGGGAGTACATGCGTCAGTTGTATTTTAATTCGAGCGAGTGGCAGTGTGAGGTGAATTATTATTATTTATTTGTATAATAAGATCGAGATGAGGACGCGAGAGTGTAAATACATATATATATACATATATAGATTAAATAGTTCGCAGACTGTAAAATACTGTAAGATATAACGATACATTCGAATGAAATAAAAGATTTTATTTAAGATTCACTCACATTCCACTCCCCCTCTGCGAAATTCCAGAGTAGGCTCCGACTGATGTGGGTAAGTTATTTCAATAGGT